TCGCCAAAGCACTGATAGCAGTGTTTACATTCAGTGGGAAAAATCAGTACTATAGCCTCATAGCCTGGCTTGTTGCAAGAGATACACAGAAAATATATGCAGGATATGTCTTTAGAAAGGAGATATGTAGCTGAATTGCAACTGCTGCAAACATCACACTTAAATGTTTGTTGTTTGCTTGGTGTGTGTGTGTATGTGTGTGTGTGTGTGTGTGTGTGTGTGTGTGTGTGTGTGTGTGTGATATTGTTGCATAACAGTTTCCTTGGAGATTGAAACATTCCATCCTATGATAATGTTCCTTATGCTTGGAGATAAACAATTCAAAAGCTTCAGGATGTCTCTGAAACTGACCTGATTCACTAGGTCCTTCCCTGCCAGAGTAAGCAATAAAAGCTGAGTCTCTCTCTCTCTCTCTCTCTCTCTCTCTCTCTCTCTCTCTCTCTCTCTCTCTCTCTCTCTGTCTCTTTGAAGAACAGAAGCAAGCTGCAAAGACTCTCAGATGATGGGCTGAAAACTCTCCACAACTGTGAGCCAAAATGATTCATTCCTCCCTTAAATTGCATAAGCACAGTGGTTACCATGATGCAAAATCAACCACTGTATTTATACAAAGTGGATTTGATGTCTTGAAAAATCTGTCAATCACTTTTAACAACCATGAATTGATTTAGTAACTTTATATAGAATGGATTTATTAGTTCAAAACTAGGGATCATATTAAAATAATTTATTGTCTTATTTAACAATTTCATACATGTATATGATAAATTCTGGTCACCATCACCCTCATCAGTGTTCCTTCCTCCTTACTAGACCCTGCCTCATACTCCTGTCTTTATGTTTTGCTTGTGATCCACTGAGTTTAGACAGAGCCATTTTTGTGACCCTGGGTTTTGAACTTGCCATTGGAACCTGGTATTATTTTTATTCCCATAGACAACCAGCAGTTATTTAGTTTCATGTTTAAAAATCTTACATACCAGGCATGAAGAGGCAGATTGAAAAGTACTATCTTCTAAAAAGAGAAAATCCATTGCTTAAGAAATGCCATTGAATAAGCAACATAAAAAGTAAAGGAAATTACTATTTAGTAAAAAGTATTCTAAGGTACTGGGGTGGTAGCTCAGTAAGTCAAGTGGTTATTGCACAAACAAAGGGACCAGAACTAAGACCCCAGAACTACATAAAAAGAGGTGTTTTGATGCATACTTGTAACCCAGTGCTGGGAAGATAAACATAGGTGGATCTATGAGACCTGGCCAGTAGGCCCATTTAGCGAGCTCCAGACCAGTGTAAAATAAGGAAGGTATCTCTGGGGAAATAGCACCTGAGATTGTCCTCTGTCCTGAACAAGCACATGCACACATGCAAACCTGTACACACATGTGTATGCACAGTCATGAGCATGGACACATATGCATTAACACACATAACTAAATTTTCTCTATTATATTCAAGTTACAGAACTTTTACATTCTCATGTAATCATTATTACTGGTTGTTCTTATTTTGGGGTTGGTTTCAGCTTTTACCTATACTAATAAAATCCTTTATGTCATCATCCAAGTTCTGGGCCAGGTCAGATATGGTAAAAACAAACAAACAAACACACAAAAAGACAAGCTAGGGCCTTGACAGAGCTGCTTCATGGTTTTGGCAAAAAAGCACATTTAAGTGCCAGAAGGAATAATGTGCACAGACAAAAATGTGACATGAAACACACTTACTAGGGTGCACTTAACCTACTGACATCCAGCTGATCTCAGGTTTGAAAATGTGGCACCTTTCCCCAATTCTGCAAAACATCCCATCTAACAGGGTGATTTTCAAACCCTTTGAACTGGACATTTCTTTAAGGCAAAAGTCTAAAATCAAAGCAGTGTTCTGACTCTTTACTTCCAAAACAAGTCATCACACACCAGCTTTCTACAGCTTGAAACATGATTTAGCTATTGTCTGTCAAGTTCAGGCGTTTCATCTCCTGCCACTGTCTATATTTTATTTTCTTCCTTACATAAATGTAAAGGGCACTGCCAGCCAGTTCTGAGCTTGTCAAACCCCTGACAACACAAATCATGCCAGATATAAATATTTTCATTGTCACAGCAAATGTTTCCAAAATTGCAAACTCTGATGCCTTTGCAAATTGATTTGGAACAGGTACAATGTACTGAACTGAAAAAGATAGGAAAAAAAAAAAAACTTGCCGAAAAACAAACCAACAAAAGTCCCAAATAAACAATAATATTCTAATATATATGAGAAACAGACTTCTTCTTTCCCAATACATTTGGAGGAAATGGTCCTTTATTTCTATCAACATTTTTATCTAAGACGACCTGACAAAAGGGGGAGGATGAGTTGATTCTGTGTCAGTTTGCCATTTTTTTCCCATTCTACTCCCAATGCATGGTTTGCCTAAAGACCCTTTGAATATATTCTGTAACATTTTCCTGCCTTTTAAAGAACAGTATTTCAATTAGCATAGAAAATGGTAGGTTTCATCATGACATGTTCATGTAAGCACATCATTATCACTTGATCATTATTTATTCCTTTATTGACCTCTCTTATTCCTCTCATCCATTCCACTGGACTGCTTCCTTTCCTAAATATCTCCCCATATATATGTACAACTTCTAGAATCTGTACACAAGAGAAAATACACAGTGTTTTGCTTTCTTTTCCTGATGTACTCCTCATATTCCTGACATATATTAGATACAACAAATGTATAGCCAATATTAGACTCTGTGGAAGCACTAAAAACTTTGCTTTTTATATCAGGGATGAGCCAAAGGTATCTACTTCTTCAATATTGTGGTTGGAGTCTTTGCTAGAGCAATAAGGAAATAAATAAGTCAAAGTATCTTTATTTTTATATGATATCATTCTATACATAAAAGACTCCAAGGACTCCACCAGGAAATTCTTAGGTCTGATGAACATGTTCAACAAAGTCAGGATACAAAAATCAGAAGCTGTTTTGTATGCCAATAATGAACATGCCGAGAAATCAGGAAAACAATCCACTTGTCACGAACTGATAAAATATCTGAATGAATGTAATCCAGGAGGCGAAAGAGCTATACAATCAAAACACTGAACATGGCATAACTCTTAGGAAAATGCCCATTTCCTTCACCAGCCTTAGGACTTGGTGTCTTTTCCCATCTACCCTGCCTGTAAACACCTGGCCTTCCTTTGACCTTCCTTTGCTAGCTACTTTCCAGGTGGCGATGAAACCCAGGCACCAAACCTCATTTTCTCTTAGGTGTTTCCGTTTCTGTTACTGTTTCCCCAGGGCAACTATGCCCCCTGTCATCTTCTCCAACAAAGAAAAGATAATTTAATGTTTACTTAAACTGAAACTTTCACTTATAAATGCTGACCAGAAAAGTTACATGTTTGTAAATTCAAATGAATAGTTTATGTACAACAAATTGTATATGGAGCCATATCATGTTTCTTTTAGAATTCATAAAAATTAAATTGTCAATGGAACTATTAGAGTTTTTATAGGAGAGATCAAGCCAGCAAATAACCCATATAGAAACTTTCTACAAAAAAAATCCACATAATTTTAAAAACAACATCCAAATACTACACAGCTAAATAAGCTCAATGTCACATGCAATGACATGATTTTTTTCTACTTGGAAACATTAAGAGGATTTATGTGTATACATGTGACGTGTGTGTGTGTGTGTGTGTGTGTGTGTGTGTGGTGTGTACATGTGTATATATCTGTATGTACAATTGTGCTTACCTGTATATGTGAATGTGGAAGCCAGAGGCCTTTGATATTCCACTCTAGTTTTGAGTCAAGGTCTCTCACTGAACCTGCAGCTGACCATTTTGACTAAACTGGCTAGCCAGCCAGCCTGTGATCTGCTTGGCCTCGGCCTCACCTCCCATGCACTGAAGAAGTTATAGGTGCTGTAAGCACTTTCCCACTAAAGTTATCATTCCAGCCCCAGTGCAATGCTTCTTAAAGAACTATCTTGTGGCCTGAGGCAAAGATGCTAACAAGTTTTTGATGACTCAGAGAGAGCGAGAGAGCGAGAGAGGGAGAGCAAGAGAGAGAGAGAGAGAGAGAGAGAGAGAGAGAGAGAGAGAGATCTAAATGGAATGGTGTGGATGGGGGGAAACAGATGCAGAGAAGGAAGAGTAGCAGACAGAGCCTGAACAGTCCAGCTCTGCAGAAGGACCCACCAGACCCACCAGTAATAACAAATATCCATAAGTTTAGCCCTAGCATTTCTTTCTTTCACACAAGTGGCATTTCATTTTTTTTTTAATTCACAGTGAAATCACCTTGAAACACAATTTTCCATGTGTGTGTATTTCCTGCTAATTCGAACATCCTAGGCAACAGTAAAAGGCAGTGAAATAGAAACAAGTCAGCAAGAGAAATACCAAACTTTTGCATTGAACAACTCCCAAAGGCACTATGCCCTTCCCAAATTAAGGATTCACTTCTGGCAGGAGGAGAGGGCAGGGTTGAGTCTGGTCTAAGAATCACAAAGCACAGCTCAGCATTTCCGGGCAGAAGGGAGGATTCTTAGCCAGCGAGATGCCCCTAGGAAGATTAATTATTGATTTTCTTATAAATCATCTCAGGTGATTGTTGTTTGTTTTCCCTCCCAGGATGATAAATGTCTGATTTTACTTTTGTTAAAATAAATTCCTTCAACTTCAGTGCAATTAAATGAAGACTATGAGAAGACATCTCAGAGAAAGTATTTTCCAACACAGTAGGTAGGAGAGTCAATTGTTTTCTGACCTTCATGGGGTACCAAGGGTTAGGACCTCATGCAACTTCCTGTGTTCTTACAGTTGTGAGGCCCATGGATTTTATGAAGGAAGAAAAGCACTATTTGGGCATAGTTATATTTGTCAGCAAGTGCTCTTGAGGTCTGCTAGGTGTCATCACAGAAACCAAGATCCAGAAGACCAGCTTTGACAATGCTCATCACAGAAACAACATGGTGGCTTACCTTCCTGCCTCCGGTGTTGATGCGTAGAGGTGTCAGAAAAGGGTCGAAGATCATGTGACTGGTCTCTATGTTGACTGGCGACTGCCGTTTCCCAACGGAGCAAAGATTCCAAGCTGAGTTTACCAATCCCCAAAAGGAAGGAACTAGGAGTAAAATGAAATTTTAAGATTAGGTTGGGTAGAGGAAAGCAGTATATTAAAGGAAACTTAAGTTACAGAGTTTTAAACAAAGAATATCCAGTAATATTCTGACTCAAGGAGATCTTGAGGTGTTGCCATGGTATTTTTCAATTTTGGTTAATTTCTCCAATATCATCTTCATGATCACTGAATGTCAGATTTTCTTACTTCATGTATATCCTGTAGCCTCTTTATTGTGTTCATGCCTTGGTACTAACATTGTCTTTAAAGCCATATCCTCTTTGCAACATGTTCAAAAGTACACCAATTATTTAACAACTCCAGAGTAGATGCTCTGTTCCTCTTCTAGGTGGAAATGATGTGAGAATCAGTGGTGTCCAATCTTGAAGTTATCTGAAGCTTTTCAAAGTGTCATTTGACATTTACAAGGTATTTTTTTTCTGTGAGTTGTCAAGACCAAACTGAAGGAATGGTTTGTTTTTATGACCCCCCCCCAATCAAAACTAGACAGGAGCTTAGCAACTTGACTCTATCTTTGTTTGGTTCAACATTGTGTCATTAACCTAATGTTCCAGCAACTGAGGAATGTGACCATTTGAAAGACAGGAAAAAAAAAAAAATCACACCGAGTGCTCAGTGCAGATATTCAAAGAAAAAGTGTCAGACCATTTTCAGTCTTCCAGTAAAATACCTATTAGGATAATTATTTATAGTATTTCCAGTCTTGTTTCCTTGTATTTAGTAGTTAGGGGAGTAATAGGAAGAGTTAACACTCAAAGTTTATGTTTATGAAGAAACTATACCTTTAGCATTTACAGTCTCATCAGTATTTCCATCGAAGTACAGAAGCCATACACCCCCGTTTTTTCCTTCTGAGTGCATGCTCATTTACTGCTGATTAACCCACAGTAACCTTTGTGTTCTGCCCTGGGTTAGGTTGATTCTCAGGGAAAAAATAAAAGGATAAGAATAATGAAGACCAAAAAGTGAGACTAATGGGAGGGTGCTGTGAAGCTGTTGATGAAGGGCATCCAGCTCAGCCTCGGAGGAGTGGAACCAGATAGTGGTTATTGATGAACACTGAAATCATGTTATAATCCTCTTACATGCACCTGCAATCTTACAAACTCAAGTTGCATGCAGATGTTAACTTACAGCAGCCATTGTGCCTGCTCATATCATAATGGCTAAAATCCAAAGCCAGAGAAGCATGTAGGAGCCAGTTATATAACCCTGGAGAACTATGATTGATGGGATGTTTTGTCCCACACAAACCCCAAATTCTGTGACTTTATTAGTTCAAGTCAACACCAGGGAGAAGATTCCTTGAAAAATACTTCAACACCAGCACGCTATGGGATTCATATCTAATTTGACTTAATCCATTCCAAGAAGCCTCTCGTGATTCTGTTCCCTTTAGGTTAAGGAGTTTGAATTGGCTTCCTCAACACGAGCAATTTTCAACATGGCAGCAATGGTCAGAAGGAGAAAGAGAAGAAGGCAGAAGAGTAAGAGTAGAAGCAAGAAAACCCAAGCAAGGGCATGTGCTTCCTCGATGCCTCTAGTTCTTTTGTGTAAACTCTATCATTGAAAATTGCTTAACATATTTACAAGATACCGCACCCTAGCAACACTATTTGCATTGAAAATGGACTTTTCAGGTGGGAGGTGAGGGTAGTGGGGGAGGTGATGAGGGAGGGGGAACTGGGATTAGAATGTAAAAAATAAGTTAATAAAAAAATCTTTAAATATGTACTTTACATCAACAATGTTCTCTGGACCTTAGGTGTAAGTATTGTATTGTTTGGGGCTGGGTACCTCTCCACCAGTTGTTTTCTACACATTGATCAGCTGTGGGGGCTGTGGCTTTTTTGTAATGGTCTATATCTGTTGCAAAGAGAAACTTCTTTGATGAGGTATGAAAGCTACATTTCTCTGTAGGTGTAAGGATAAGTATTTTAGAATGAAGTTCCGAATTGCAATGGTTTAGTAAAGTGGTAGTAGGATGTTCTCTAGGATCTGTGATCTCACTAGCTCTTCATAGGTAGCTAGATTTCCATTACTGGACCTAATTTCTCTCCTGTTGTAACTAGACAGCTGTTGTTTACTGGAAAGATGTGAGTGCCACTATTGAACATTTTGGGATGACTTGACTGCTGGTTGTTGTTGTAGTCCATGGGTGTCATATTTTGGTAGGGGCTATTGACTACTTCCCTCCCTTCAAAGATTGAATAGCACCTTTTTGTATTATGAGAGATAGTTCTCAGGACAAAGGCATCTAGATTGCTTCCAGCTCAAATCCTGTGGGTCCTGTGTCCATGGTGTCTTCCAAAACAGGGACTTACCTTCAACTTCTGCGAGGCGACTAAGGGCAACAGCAATAACTTATATTGTTTGGGGAGTCTCTTGGAATTCCCTGACCTACAGCTTAAAAAAGAGGTTTCTCATGGCTGAAAATGGACTTATCCAAGAAAGTCTATGGCTTTTAGGGGAAGCATTATCTCCTCAACTAGCACAACTTCATTCACGTGCGCGCACACACACACACACACACACACACACACACACACACACACACACACACGAGAGAGAGAGAGATTTAGAATATACATATGTGTGTATACACACATTTATATGTATTACATGCAATTTAAAATAAACATAAAGCAATGTGATTCCCTATGGCTTTTTTGGACATCCTAATTGTTATTTGTCCATCTCCCTTTCAAATTCAAGACGTCTTTTTTCATTTCCCTCTTCATATCATCTGTATCCTGCTATTCCCTCTTCTAGAGCTCCCACACCACAGTCTACTTTTTACCTTTTTGATTTCTGAGGTTACTCCTGCTCATATACTCTTTGATAATCAAGACATACATCTGTGGGAGGTAGGTGTGTGTGTGTGTGTGTGTGTGTGTTCTCTGTAAGGCGGCTGCATGATATACACAGCTATAGCTGGTTCACATTGCATTTCATCTACTCCCATGAAAATCATTAACAAAAATAACTCTAACCCCATAAACAGTCTGTAAGGCTGTTTTTGTATGACACCAATGGTGAGCAGATGCTGCCATGCCTTGCTAATAAACTTCATACCCCAAAAGTCCCCCCACAAAAACACAAATAGCAAAAACTTTATGTGAACATCTGCCTTTGCTTTTACTGGGTACAGAATACTTTATGACAGTTTCAGGGTTTTATATTCCCTCTTCACCATCAAGGCCCCTGCCTCCCATTCTCACCACCTGCTTAGGAATCAGAGAGTAACCAAGAATCAATGTCCTTTGCTCACTGTGTCCCTCATTGGCACAACACCTTAAATGGTACTGAGTTTGCTCACAACTGAATGACTTGTTTTTAAATATAAGATTTTCAGAATTAGAAGCCACCTTAGAGGTCATTATACCTAAATGCATCCATGACATGGAAGCCGCGGATGGATCGGAGAGTAAAGTACTCCACCCACAGCCACAGTGTCAGGCAGAGGCCAGAAAGTACAGAGAAAAGACCAGAACCAGCTCTGAAAACTCCAGTTGCCTCAGAGGGTCCCCTTCTCCATATATGTCTCTCTATAAAGTTTCAGTCAGAAGCAGGGGATTACGCCCAGGGAAGTTCATGGTTAGTTATTACCCTGACCTGTGTAAGACTAGTGCTTCCATTTCTCTTTTGGTAAATCAAGAATAACAGTGTCTGTTTGGCAATCTAAACAAATTTCAAAGGTTAAAATCCAAGTCAAACTCCTTCAAAAATTAGCTATGCCAAATAAAGGCAGGGTTTAAAAGCAACTGAACAATTTTGAGACAACACAGAATAGTCTAATTGAAAAATGTATTGAGGCCAGGGGAGGTCATGCTTTGGGGCTCCTTCTTCAGAGGCCCAGGAAGACATAATAGAAGTTATTGTTACAGATTGCTGTTCCAGAGGCTGGAGAGAGGGCTCAGACTTTAAGAGCACTGCTCTCACACAGGACAAGTGTTTGGTTCCCAGTACCCAGATTGCTTACAACCGTCTGGAATTCTAGACTGAAGGGATTCAAATGATGCCCTCTTCTGCCTTCTAAGGGCAAAGCACTCAAATGCACAATCTCTCTCTCTCTCTCTCTCTCTCTCTCTCTCTCTCTCTCTCTCTCATGCACACACACACACACACACACACACACACACACACACACACACACACACACACTAAATATAAAAGTTTAGGTTGCTCCAGTTAAAGTGCTCTTGGGCTAGATGGACTGGACCAGATTTCATTCCCCATAGAAAGAGAAGAGAAGTCAATGCTTGCTACTCGAAGCAATGTGAATGCTGAGGATGAATTATCGTGTGGAAGCCACTCCAGGGACCTTGAGTGACAGATGGACAAAGAAGAGATCTACACATGCTATACATGGAAAGTGCTTTAGGATGGAGCCTTGGAAGATGGGAGGACAAGGAATGCTTACTTGTTGAAGGTTGGGAGTTAACTGTCTCACTTTAGGTGTGTAGACCTACATCATACCTATGAGCTAGGACACAGGATTTGGGTTTATGCAGAGTCCTCAATTATGGCCATAGTACGTAATAGGTATGGCCTATTTTTCAAATTTTGAAATCCTGTTGAATTTTTTATCTTAATTTCTATGGCTATTTCAATAAATCAAAATTTAAACTTTCTTTTTGAAAAAACATATAATGACTTATCTGCTAATGCAGTTTTTTTTCTAGCTTGACCAATACAATTTATTGTGGGGAAAATGTAAATGGAATGAAATTGAGTGAGAACCATTTTAATTAATTAATAGTCAGCTAGTATGAAACATTGGAATTCCACCATCCTTGGCATCTCTTTCACACACTCTTCTAATTTACATATAAACTAGAACACACAACAGACCTGAATATCTTTGCAAATTAATTTTCACAGAGACTAAACAGAGGAATTTAATGGCTGCATCATAACTATGTATTTATCTTGCCAAAATATTTCCCCCTTGGCAATGCTATCATTCTTACCATGAACTA